GACTTCAACTCCCAGAATTCTGCTGGCTGGGGGATTCTGGGAGTTGAAGTCCACACATCTTAAAGTTGCCAAGTTTGAAAAACACTGGTCTAGACTCACAACTCCTGCTGGATAGGCAGAGAAGGATACAACTAGAGTAGGCCTTTTCTTAGCTTTGTCTGATGTGCCCAGTTGCAGCCTTTGCTGGGGAGAGAAGCCCTGGTGACAGGAACTCTTTCACTTCTCGCCTGGAGTATAGATTACTGCAATGCAGTCTACATAGGGCTGGCCTTGGAGACTATTTGCAAGCTATAAGGGATGCAAATTGCAGCAGCCTGCGTTATGCTGGGTGACAGCCACTATACACACACAAGCCCAGGGTGGCAAGCTCTGTGTTGGCTACTAGTAGTATCCTTCCGATTGCTAGTTTTGACTTCTAGAGCTCGATCTGGTTTGGTGCCAGTTACTTGCAGGACTGCCTACTTCAAACAGAACCTACCTGTCTGGTTTGCACATTCCAACTGGGTATGTTGAAGGGAGACCTACATGGGTTCATTGGAGGGTGGATCAAGGAATCAGTGTTGTCGCCCAGGGCCCCAACCCTCCGGAATAGCCCCCCACCCTACCCCGAGATACGGATTCCAGTTATTCAGAAAGGCAGTAAAGACTGAATTGTTTTCACTGCCTTTAATACTTAAATTTAAAAGTGGGAGAGGTTGCCATGCAATTTTTGCAATGGTTATTTTTGTTCTTTATTTTTCCTCCCTTGGTGGTTGTCACTCTAGCAATTCTTAATACATCCTGCAAACTGTCATAAGCCTGTGGGAGTTGGCTGTATAAAAGGGAAATAAAGAATTAGGGTGCTGCCTGGGGGTAATGGACATTGTGGCCAACACATTTGGAGGGCACCAGTTGAGAGCAAGCTGCTTTAGCAAAGGAATCTTGTTACCCATGATGCAAAAGAGACTTGTTATCACCTCATTCGCTTGCCAGAGCAAAGGAGAAACCATCAGAGGTCTTTGCCCCTGCTCCAAATGAAGTCTTGAAGTTGAGTTCCTTTGCATTTCTTCCCTATGACATCGCTGCCTCTGTGCCTACGATGCGCTAAAGGAGTGCTGATGAATATTATAGGTCTGGAAGTTACTGTGGATGATCTGAAGGGATACCTAACATTTTCCCAGGATTGTATATCACAAGGCATGGGTGAATGCATGGAGGTGGACAAGCCCTCCATCACTTAGGCTGCCTTTATTGATCTTTCAATTGAGGAAATGTCTGCAGAACTTCAGGGTCCTGAGAGACACTAACAGAAAGCCAGCATTACTGTTGGGAAGGACAGCAGGTAGTCCTTTCTGCACACTGGGGAAATACTTGAAGACAGATTTGCTGCTGGAAGATGTAGGGGACTAATAAGTTTTTGGAGAAAAAGGTGGTCTACAGTGACTTATCATCTCCAGCATCAGAGACAGTAAGGTTCTGAGAACCAGTTGCTGGGGAGCGCGCAAGTGGAGTGATGCTATTGCATATTAACTTTCCAAGAGTGTTTCCTGGTGATACTTGGCTGGCCACTCTAGGGAGAAAATGCTAGATAAATGAGAATGGAGAAATATGACAAATAGATAATGCTTCAGTCGGATTCTCTTTTGTTCTTTGGTGTCTTATGTTAGAGGAATTGGCTGTACAGCAAAACTGCAATTTATCGGACCTTGCTACAATGGACTTTGCAAACAATGGACCAAATTCCATGGCAGTTTACATCTTTTGCATAATGAGATCATTGCACAAATGTCATAAATATTTGCCTCTTGCCACTTGCACAATGATGTCATTACCCAATGATACTATTCTCATTACTCCATTATGTGAATGACACGTGATGCAAATGACATCATTAGTACCACTGGCATGATGCCAACATCATACAATGGGATAAAATTCCCTCAATAATTTAGCCTCCAATTTTATAAATTACAGAACTCTCTTCTCCCCATTTAGTCCATTAGGACGAGTTCCTATATTCACATGCCATGCTAGTCAACGGCATTTTAGCCTAACCCATGGCGCAAATCCATTCTGTATAGTTAGTTTATACTTTAGAGGGTACTGTGAATGCAGAAACTACGTTGAGTAACCCATAGTTTAATTAAACATGGGTAGGCATGCCAGGCGCTTCTCACTGGCTGTGTTCTCATAGCACGTTTAACCTGGTTAGAGAATTAACAATTTTCTGGATTATACATAAATTATCAAATGACCTGAGATCACCCAATACGTTAAGCCATCTCCCCCATCTCTAAGCCAGGTGAAAATTCATCAGGTTTAATATGTTGTACAAATGCAGCCACTAGAGTTGATGTATCACTGATCAGTTAAAGTATATTGTATGAACGCAGACGTTAGGTATCCTGTAGCTGTTTTTTAACGGATGATCATAGTGCTGGTGGTCAGAATAAAGATGGAAGCAATAAAGGAAAAACAAGGACGGATGAGGAAAACATTGTCTGGATTAGATTCCACCCTTGCCAATAAAAATCCGTGGAGTGACTCAGGATGATTGTATGACAAAGGACTCTCTTCAAAAACACCCACCAGACAAGTTTTATCAGCAAGAGATTTAGTGTTCCTGTTCCCATAACATGCTTAATTGGGTCAATTAATCCCATCCTTTAACTACAGGGAGTTACAGTTAACCTAAAACAGACCCAGTGATGCACAAGGTCAAACTACTTCCACCCAGTTGTATGGAAAGAACACCACAAAAGGGAGCAACGTAAGCCTAAAATTTGGCCTGGATTACTGCAATGTGCTTTACGTGGGGCTGCCTTTGAAGACCACTTGGAAGCTACAGCAGAATGAAGCAGTGTGAATAATGAAGGGTCTGGTAGGGACACCCTGTGATGAAAGTTGAACTGGTTGTCAGTGGGCTTCCAGGTATAATTCCAGTATCGGTGGTCACCTAGAGCACCTTATATGGCACAGGCCTGGGATCTTTGTGGGACAGTCTCTGATTGTCTCTCCTCATGCCACAAGGTCTTACAGTGTCAGTGTGCTCCAGGTTCCATCAATAAAACAATGCCATCATCTAGGGCAGTGTTTCTCAACCTTGGCAACTTGAAGATGTGTGGACTTCAACTCCCAG